GTTTGGTGGAAAAAAATTTTTAAAAAAAAAAAAAAAAAAAAAAAAAGCCCAATACTATTCCCCTAGCAACAAGTCCAGTCCCAAGTGCATGCACTGAGGTGACTGCTAATATGTAGGAGGGAAATGCTTGCTCTCTTTGAAATGCAGACCAAGTAATCAAACCCAGTAGGTATGGCTGGGTAAAATTAGCCACTATAAAAGCAAAAGCTATAATGAACAAGATAGAGGAAGTATTGGTGTTGTCTGGAGAGGTAGGTCTTACTTGTTTGTAACAGGAAATCACATTTAGGTCTTGTGTATGCTTGGTGTTATTGGGGAATAGCATTTTAAAAACAGATAACTAAGTAGAAAGTAGTCACTCTTATGCTAGAATAAGATTATTCAGACAAGGAGTAAATTAACTTTTAAATGTAAACATGTCCCAAATCCTGAAATAAAGGTATTCAAAATGCACTCATCTACAACATTCCTTAAATTATATTTAAGCCTTATGTGGCATATCCTGCCCTCCATTTAGAATCATGGAATTTCCTCTTTGGTGTACATAGTAAATGTGTTTGCCACTTGATTATTTAATGCCAAAAAAGCCACTTCATGTGACCTTTGATTTCCTTTAATGTCCCTCCCTATTCAGCACTCACCTCCACCTGAACGTATAAATAAATCCAAAAAAGCAAATGTTCCTCTTTGCTTTTTCAAAGTTCTAGAGTAGCCGAGCTGCTTCTTTGTCCCAGTGCAACACAGAACCTCAGCATAGATGGCCTAGGCTCTAGGTGATTCATAGCAAGCTACCATGAAACTCAGATACTTAGTAGGGTTAGGTTCCAAAACCCTTGCAATGGTGAGGGTTATAAACAACTGTTCAGAACTGTGAGGTGATCCCACTCTTTGGTGCAGATTTTATTTTCAAAAGGTGTTGCCTTTCCAGTCAGCAGTGTGAGGCCGTATGGCTGTGAGAGCTCCAGTTCAATGGAGAGTTAGTGCCCTTTGAAGTAAAGCTGCAGCAAGCAAGCTGTGTGGCTTGTCCCTAACTTAGCAGCCCGCTACAAATTTAGCAACTTGCAAACCACATGGATACAAGTGTTGGAGATTCTACTGTACCTGGCTTCCAGCGACCAAGTTCCTTTCCATTCAGCACAGTGTTAAATGCTGTTCCTTCACTTTCTAAGAGGCAGTCAAAGGAAAATGTTGTGAGTTCCCATTCAAGGGAATAATTCAGAAATAGTATGTTTTTGGTTGAACAATTCAGAGACGTTCAGTCCTCCTCTTTTGACATCTAAGCTATCTCCTGATTTGTACCCGTGGGTCAAGCTCAGTATTTCTGTCATGGTCAAGGTGCTCAATGTATCTGGGCCCAAATTATCTAAAACTTGTGTAAAGCTCCATGAAGATTCCTGTTGACAATTTTTTTGTCAGGTACAATTTAAAGTTAAAGCACAAAGTTAAAGCTCATCTTTACAAGAGTCAGATCTTTCCTGGGGGCTGGGCCCAACTGTAGTATGAAGTCCTATCAGACGCAGGACCATCACAGGTTTCAGTGCCTTCCATTGCAAGTACAAGGTGCTTTTCTTCAGCCTGTGTTCCCTGATATAAACACATCATAACATTGAAAAAACAAGCAAAACTTCCCTAAACAAAACAATACATTGCATGTGCACCATTCTCCCTGAGAGAATGTATGCATGTACTAGGGATGTGATAGGTTAAATGTTTAAATGATAAGTATGTTCATACTGGTAATGCATTCCCAGTTAACATCAGCATGGGGTGCAGTCTGGTGGGGAAAGGAAGTGGCATGGTGCCACAGGAACAGGAAGGTGGTAGGGTGGGCAGACAGGCAGGAGGAAGTGGGGGAGGGGCAGGAGAGAGGCAAGGAGGGACTAGTATCCATAGCTACCAGCATGCCAGCAGCTGTAGTGGGTGGGAAAGCTCCTTGCCTGCTGCTGCTGGCCACAGCTTCACAGTGGGCTATGTTGTCTGGTGGGGCTTGTTGCTGTCTCTTCCCTTCCTGTCAAAGGTGCCGAAGAGTAGCTCCTAGCAGCAACTGTTTCTGAGCGAGTCTGTGCATGGCCCCTGGCTCCCCCCACTGCTGGCTGCAACTCCTTATTATACAAGTACTAAATAAATGTGCAGTAACCACTGCACAGTAGCATCTTATGTAGATATACCCACTGCGAAGCAAAATATTCTTTGATCCCATGTTGGGATCTAAATGGCTACCCCTTAGTACAGCCAATAGAAGGAAAACAAACATTTCAGCAAGGCAGTCTTAAATAACTCCTTTAGGTAAGTTAAAAGCTATATTTTAAGGTATGTTTTAATATTGAATAGGTAAGTACTATAAATGGGAGTGGTTTGGAAAATTTGGTTCCCCTGCTTTTGTTTTAAGTCATATATGATTAAAGTTCTAAATATAGCTTCTAGACGCAACAGATATTACCAGGAAGCAGAAAAAAAGAGAAAAAATAACCACATTTCCCTCCCCATAAAGTTCTGCTGAATTAAGAATAAAGCCAGATTCACTGTTAAACTGTGGCTGTCTTGTATCATCCCAGTAAGGCAACGCATCTGTGACCTTTTTAGGTAGCCTGCTGAAATGGGAAAGCACAAATTAGCTAGAATGTGTTGTGAATATAACTTAGAGGGTTTACTGAAAAGCTGAGAGACATTGTTTATGAATGAATAACTTCGCAGTCTTGCAAAGGGGGATACATACCATAAAGAACAGTTAAGGCTTGCATCCTTGGCAGCTTGTCAGACTGTTTCTGTCTCACTAGCTGGACCCCAGAGGAGTAGATCATTTTGCTCAGTGTTTTGCTTAGGAGGAACTTGGATTAATAATTAGCTTGAAGGTGAGAGTATTTTCACCCAAATGAAAAAATGGTTTTAGAGTCTTGGAACCAATTTTCACTTCACTTCTTTGTGGCAGCATAGTTGGAAGGTGCATTTCCCTAGGTTGCTTACATAAGTTGGGGAAATGCATTTCTGATACTTACTGAAACCTTGGCCTTGAACTCTTCTGGTTATTTTTTTTTTAGCTTCTAAATTTCTAGCTAGGAAGGGATCATGCCAAAAATGAATCATTAATTTCTGGGAAGGTATTAGTCATAGATGAGCTATAGTCCTTATTTGATCTGTAATTGTAAAATCAAAAAAATCTGCTGTATAACTTTTTAATCAATTATTTTAGAATTATCAATCACATTAATAAAAATAGAACAGAGACCTGGTGCATATCAAGTGTTTTCTGTACAGATACCCTACCAATTATTTTCCAAAAAAGGTTGATGATGGTAGCAAATTTTTAATATAAATAGGAAGAATAATGTTTAGCACAGTGTCTTTCATGATGCTATGTTGTTGGCTGATGTTGTTAACATCCTGCTACAAAAAAACCTGATCATCAAACACTGCATGAGTGACAATAGCTTCTATTGCTATTCATGCTATTAATTTTTGGCTGCATACTATTACCAGTTATTTGTTGTCTGACCAAAGGTGTGGCATTACGTGTACCCCCAGTTTTAGAATTATACTTCTTCAAAGTTGGAGTTATAAGGTGAAAAATGTATTCGTACACCCAAGTGAGGACGTAGTTTCACCATAATGAACATCTTTTTCCCAAAGGGAAAGTTTTCCTGTCGTGAACTTTCTATCTTTTCCTTGTTTTATTTCATCTCCTTTGTTCTAGTCATACTGGATGGCTGACCATAGTTCTTTGGAGCCTGATAAGTAACCAGGTTTAATTTTTGTATTCTAATTTTCATTTTCAGTCCCCACTTCTCTAATTTATGTAAAGGTTACCCTGTGACCCATTTCCTCCTTACTGATTCTTAATCATTTCCCACATTCTTTTGTGTATCAGTAGATTCTCACAATTAGGTTATACTTCATTGGAAAACATTCTTAATTAAAATTGTGATGCAAAATGAGAGTCCGTTGACTCCTCCTTATCTTTCTAAAATAATTACCTTTACCCATAACGTTTGTTTGTTTGTACATTACACTCACAGTGACTGTTTTAGAATTGATATGTTTCTGTAATTACAATTGTATTCTCATATATTTTTTGAGAGGTGGCTTTCTTTAACATGATACACTTACAGTTCTAGCAGTTAGGCCAGAAAGACTTAAGGCTTCTGTTTTTACTTCCAGGCCTTGCCACTAACTTGCTGTATGGCCCTGAGAAAGTTACACAGGCCCAGATTTCCAACAGTCTCAAGCAGCTTTGGGTTCTTAAAGTAAGATATCTGGGAACTGATTTTTAGAAATGCTGAGCACTTACAGCTCCCCTTGACTACTGAAATTGTGGATGCTCAGTAGGTGTGGTTTCAATTTTTCATATTGGACCTCTGGAATCAGAAATACCAAAATTGATAAACACTCTTGAAAAATTGGGCTGTTACCCTTTCTAGGTCTCAGATTTCCCAAATGTAGTAGTAGTCCTCTAGGGTACAATGAGGGTTAATTTGTGAATGCTTTAAGATTTTTTGGAAGTTTGGCTCTAAAGAAGCACAAAATATTATAATTACTGGAATATATTAATAATTTTACAGCAGCCCAAATATATGAGGGGTAAAAAGGGAAAGGAAAACTAATTCCTGGAATTATAGTGAAGGGATGAATTTTGATAAAGACTTTGCTTGGGTTTTTCGGTTAAATGGGTGCTGAAAGCAGAGAATCCCAGCTTCTGTCCTTATGCATTCCGTTATATGTGCTGAGAAATTTTAGGAGTATTAAGACAGCTAGTATTGCTGCAGTGAGATCACTAAAGCTCAGAAAAAACATCTTTGCACTATGAATACATGTGATGTGTTTTCAGTTTATAATGCAATAAAGTTGTTTTTGATACAAGTATTGTTATTGTTGCCTAATGAAAAAATGTCAGTTAGTGAACAGTCATTCTCTTTCTGCTCTCATCATTTCAGCACTTAACATGGCAGAAGATCCCTATATCATGGGAGTGTCTGATCCTCAAGTAAGTATAAAAACACTTCTTACTTGCTCAGATTATGCCAGAAATGCATACATTTCTTCTCCCTGGCTATCTTAGCTGTTTGTTGTGGGTTCATTCTGTATTACCTAATCATTCAAAAACCTTAACAGCATCAGCAGTATAAATATCAACATAACTTAATATCAAGATCCTGTGTCAGTAGAATGTAATTTATGCCCATGACAATTCCAGGCCTTTGACAGTACAAGTGTAAAGTGATGTTAGTACAGAAGAGAATTTGGCCATTATGGCTGCTTGCAAATTAAAAAAACAAACAAACCAGCTTTACTGGAAGAAGCAGCACATGACTTCAACCTGGTTCTGCAGCATCTGTAAAGACTGCACACTTCAGCAGGGCTTTTTGGCACTTTCAGCTAAAGCTGATTCAGTCAGCTATTAAATAAAAGCACGAAAAGGCCCCACTAAAGCTCCTGTTCTTTACAGATGTTGGGCAAGCAGGTTAAAGTAACACACTGCTTCTTTTGGGCATGTGTGGGGCTTGGTGTGGGAATGTGCCGAGTTTTTTAATTAAAGCACCAGTTTTGGGGGTCGTTTATGTCTACAAGTACCCCAGGACAGTTTCCTGCAATTATTATTTCCTATCACCTTGATGCACACTTACATTGAAATTCTTTCAGTGGTGGAAGCATACCAAATGTTGCTAAAATGATACATAAAAGGGCTCCTTTATTCAATTTTTAAGTGTTCTCAGTATAAGAGAGATTATTATAGTATATCTTCATTTACAATCATTTCAATAGGACTTGATACTTCAGAACTCTGATTTGAGTGCTGTCTGGTTACTTTGCTTATGATTCATTTAAGTGATGAGAACAGTGCATAATTGAAAGATTCCAATAATACAGCTCATTAACTCATTTTTAATGTAAATACATGGTAAATGGTTTGCATTTGCCATGTGGGTGAGACCTATTCCTAGGGCAAAAACAAAGGATTATCAGACCCACACACAAAAATAATGAGATTGGAAATGTGACTCTCTATACCTAAGCAGCTCTCCACCCCACTCCCAACTGAGGGCTACAAACCTACCTTTTTTTTTAATGTAAGTTGAGATACTCACCTACCTACCCAACAGAAACTTGGGATTTAAGAAAACCCCAGCTACCATGCAACTTACTGTAAATCTGTTGTGCCTGTTTTTTCCTCAAACCTAAGGAAGATTGTAGTGTGTTTGAAAGCTTGTCTATCCCAACCAGGCAGTTGGTTCAATAACAGATACCATCAACAAAAACCTTTGCCTATTGCATATTTCTTAGATCGTTATGGTTACATTGCTTGCATACTAGTAAAACTTCTGGTTTACAACATTTAAGGACAGGACTAGCTTTTTTTTTTAAGTTCATAACATATAGAAGTATGGATTAAATCCTTGTCCAGTTGAGGCTATGGTAAAACTCCTAGGCTGCTTGTATGAGCCGAGCAGCCCCTGAGCTGTAGGGTGGGGGGGGACCCAAGCAGCACCTGACCCGGGTGGTCCCAGGAGGTGCCGTAGCAGTGGAGGGAAGCACCAGGCCCCCGCACAGCTCAGACAGGCAGGCAGGCTCCAGGGAGGAAAAAAAAATAGATCAGGCTTGCTGCTTTTTTTTTTATTATTATTATTCTGTAGAGCCTGCCTGCACAGGCTGCCGTTGGGTCCCACAGCCCCTGAGCTGTGTGGGGCCTGCCAAGCCCCAAGCACATCAGTTTCCAGTGCCCTATGCACTATTGCACTTTGTTAGGTAGAAAACTAAAACACCTCAGACGTGTTTTATCTTGCTACGTACCAAAGTTATTTAAAGCGGAATACACCGCCAAGCGTGCAAATAACAACGCCATTCAAGTGGAATATGCTGCTGAACATATAAACAGCAATGCAATTAAAGCAGTGCAAAAGGACATTTAAGGTTAGTAACAATTTGTTTTAGACTTGTGGCTTAATTGTGTGAGTATACAAGCTACAGATGCTATTGCATATTGATTGCTAGCTATATAACAAATACATAAGAAGTGCCATACTGGGTCAGCCCAAAGATCCATCTATCCTAATATCTTGTCTCTCACAGTGGTAGAATTCTATATGTGATATAGGATGCTATAGAGGAAGAGCACTGAACTGGATAGCTCTAGAATGATCTAACATCTATTCTATACTTTCCTTGGCATCCACCATTGTTGGTTTAAAGATACCAGAGGAAACATCTACAACCACTTGTTCAATAGCCATTAATAAATCGATCATCCGTAATTTATCCAGTCCTTTTTTTAATCTAGCTATGCTATCTGCCTTTACCACTTCCTGTGGCAGTGGATTCCACAAGTTAACTACATGTTGCATAAAAAAATACTTTGTCTTGATAGTTTTAAACTTGCTGCCTACCAATTTTAGCAAGTGTCCCCTAGTTCTAGTATTCTGGGACTTGGTGAACAATAGCTTCCTATTCACTTGGTCTAGACCTTTCATAATTTTAAAGACTCTCTATCACATTCCACCTCAGCCTTGTCCTTTCCAAACTGAAGAGTTCTAGCCTTTTTAGTTGCTCCTTGTATGGCAACTGCTTCATACCCCTGAGCATTTTGGCTGCCCACCTCTGTACCTTTTCAATTTTACTACATCTTTTCAGAGTTGTGGGGACCAGAACTGCACTCAGTACCTAAGATGTGGGTGTATCATGGATTTGTATTAAAAAGTACCTTCTAGGAAATAAAAGTGAAATAAACATTTTGATTTGATATCCATTTTAATGATGCCCAACATTTTTATTGGCTTTTTTGGTTACCACTGTACATTGAGCTGACATTTTTAGAGAACCATCTACAATGATTCCAAAGTCTCTTTCCCAAGGTGTAACAGCATTGTGCATGTATAGTTGAGGTTATTTTTCCCCAGATGCATGACCTTGCATTTGTTGACACTGAGGGCCCTGCTATATGTTCAAATTAAAGTTAGATAGACACCAGCTATAGAGTTGTTGCACATTTTTGAGCACTAACTTTAAAGCTGGATGGCTCTTTTTATAGCTGGATAATCATATTTATTGTGTGATAATTACTTTGAATGTGTGGCTGGTCTAAATCTATTGTGTGATTACCTAGTTAATTGCATAGTATATGTAATGTTTAGCAAGGACCTGAAGTTCATCTGCCATATTTGCCCACTAACTTAGCTTGGTGACATCTTTCTGCAGCTCTTCTCCATCAGCTTGAGACTTGACTACCTGGAATAACTTTTATTAAATCCAAAAAAAATGTTGCTTCTGTTTTTAAATTTTCTTCTAAGGTTCATAATGGGACTATATTAATATCACTTTTCACTTTTATTTCCTAGAAGGTACTCTTTTTTTCTTAGGCATACCCTCTTATTTGGAAAGAGACAAATTAATATGCTGCGGGTGCATCTACGTATGCAGTTAATGCGAAGCAATAAACTCTGGAGCTGTTTGAGCCCAAGTAAACTGCTCCCAGGTGCAGTGTCTACATGTGCACCTAGGACAGTAGCAATTTGAACTGGAGTGGAGCAGTCTCCTGCCTGGCTGCGGACGCTATTTATGCCTGCGATCAGCATTTACACATGCATTTAAGTGCTCTGCTGTAAGATAGTACTGTCTCCAACAGTTTACTGTTAGTTTACTGTGCCCTAATACCAGCACACATGTAGATGGTGACACTTTTCTGTGGAGCTTATTAGTTTACTCTGCAGTAAAGTGTCCATGTAGATGCACCCAATAATCACACTAGACCTATTCTTAATTTTTCTTTAAATGTTCAAAGAATTTTTTTTAAGTTGAGCCAATAAGAGCGCTTATTTGACAGTTATTGTTAACATAGTATATACCTTGCAAATACTTTTTAACTATCAACCTTTGTTCAGTGGTTAGATCAAGGGAATGATTGGTTGTCGGAATACATTGTTTCTATTATAGACTCTGTCTGACCTTGTGTAAGAGGTTTGGTGCCAAACTATCAAAAGAGATCAGTATCCAAGCTCTTTGGGATACCTAGCCTGGGATGCATGCACTCTAACACATTGTATTGTTTATCATCTCCATGCCTAGTACAATTATAGCATGTACTGGTGAAAATGTTAAACCCTGACTGCGGTGTTGTGTTCATTGGCACCAGTAGAGCTGTACTGATTCAAGCTGCATACTGCAAGAAGTGTTACTGTAGACAAGCCCTTAAACTCTCTGTTTTGATTTGCCCATTTGTAAAATAGGTCTAAGAGCACGTACCTGCCTTGCAGAAGTATTGGGAATCCTAAGTAACATTTTCAGAGTCCTTGAAATCTGCGAATGAAAGATGATGTATGCTGAACACACACACACACACACACACACACACACACACACACAATATTAATAAGTATGAACTCTTTTCCAATGCAGATGTTTACTGTGGATCAACTCATGGGAATGAATGCAATATTTAATAATTCAGGTTACATTACTTCAGACATACCACTACGAGCAGGTAAGAGTCCTTGCTATATGATCTTGGTGACTGTTTCTAGTGTTATTCCAGCTGTAAAGTTATGGGGGAGGTGTTTTGTGACAGAATAATGTTAAAGAGGGTTGGTTTTCATTTAGTTGTCTTGAAGATTTGAACTTTAACTTTTAACTATAAAAAAATGTCAAATGTTTTAAAGACATACAAAAAACTAGAACTCTTGGTTCCAAAATGATACCTTTTATTAGACCAACTGGAAAATGGCAAGAAAATTGTCCTTTTCTGCAAGCTTTTGGGATCAAAGTCCCTTCATCAGGGACTTTGATCATTTAAATTAAAACATTTAAAAAATGTTTTAAAATGCTTTATAGAAATTCCTCAAAACCTACCTTACTGGTGAGACAAAGCAATGAATGATGAAATTACTTTTTGGTCTAGAATGGAAACTGAGGACTAGATCCTATTCCACCCATGATACTAAATAATATCCTATTCCATGCTGCTCAAGTTCCTAATAAAATGTTGATTAAAAGTGGGTGGGCCCTCCTTACTGCATTCTTTGTTGACTTAGTGTTAAAGTTAAAGTGCTGGCTTGTTACATAAGTAGATGTACCCATGGATTACATAGAGTCAGGGCTGGCCCACAATTTTTGGCGCCCCCTGCAAAATATAGTTTTGGGGTCCACTGATGCAAAGAAGCCAGCATTGGCAGCAGGGGGTGGGATGGGAGGGTGGTGGCAAGCGACCAGACGTGAAGCTGGGAGCGAGGAGTGGGGCGGCAAGGAGCTGGACACAGGGGGCCCCTTGCCTGCAGGGCCCCCTGTGGCCACAGCTTTCACAAGATAAGACAGGCCAGCCCTGCACAGACTTGAACATGCTGGAATAGTATAATTTAGGTGCCTAATATGCAGAAAAGACCTAGCCCTGAATATTTTAGCCAGATAAATATTCTGGTTGAGGAGACTGGTTTAAATGACTTACTGAATTTTTAAAGCATTTTTAGAAGCCTCTAGTTTTTGTTCCCAACACAGTATAATGAATACAACTTTTCATTCTGTCTTGGACAATTTTTCATTTGTTGTAGTTGTTCTTAAGGGCATATATTTCAGACTAATAGAACCTAGAACCTGTTCAATTTCCTGTATCATTTGAATGTTTTCGTTTTTAGTGACTTCTGTGTTTCCTGTAAAGTCTAAGGCTGTTGTTAAAAGTGTCTAACAGTTTCCTGAATAGAAACACAGTGTTGAAAATGCAGAGGTAACCCTGGTATTTTTACCTTTGCAAACTCTGAAGGAAAAAGAGAGAATATTTTATGCCAGTATGTTGACCATTTATTCCCAGAGTGGAATTAATTTAAGAGTGCTGTGTTCTCTTAAGAGAGATCAGGACGAAAATACATTTATATTAACTTGTACTGGCCAGTAATTTGTTTTTGGGGTGTTTTTCTTAAAGTATTGTGTTTTTTCTTCCATTTTGGTGTGTGTCGTGTTGTTTGTTTGTTTTTTAATATATGACTTTTAATGTGAAACCAGTTCTCTGACTTTCCCCTATTTTGTTTGCTGAATTAATATATTTAGATGCTTTATGTATTGGGTACATTCAATAGTGATAAAGGTGTTGAGAGTAAAGTCCATTCTTGACGTTAGAATTATATATATAATATTTAACCACTATTTTTAAGGACTTAAGAGATGCATACATCTTGTGTTGCTCTCTGCAGAGGTGCCAGTTTTGCCCTAACATAGTAATAAATATATATTTTCTAAAATGACAGGTTGGGATTTAGTTTTAGTATTACTATTTTCTTTTCTGTGTGTCACCATTTATTGTTTAAGGTCATTAGTAATGCATTGGGAGCTGGAATACTAATAATGCAAGTAATTTTGTTTTCAAGAATTATTTGTGTGTGCAGAAAAAAAAGCACAGAAGCATTTGCAAACAAATTTTGCAATGTGTTTGTGTTGCAGCAGAGTTTTATAGTTTCATAGTTTCTAGGGTTGGAAGGGACCTGAGCAGATCATCTAGTCTGACCCCCTGCCATGGCAGGAAAGAGTACTGGGGTCAAATGACCCCAGCAAGGTGTACATCTAGCCTTCTCTTAAAGACCCCCAGGGTAGGAGCCAGGATAGAATTGGCCATTAGGATCCACTTGCACAAGCTTGGAGAGTTGCTGTAGCATATTCCCCTCCCCTCCCTACCCCACTTTCACCCCCCTTTTTCTTTTTTCACAACTTCCCAAAGTCTTTACAGGGTATTTTTACTTATTAGTTTTAAAATTAAATAGTGGTTGTAACTCTGTATCAGTGTAGCACTCAGAGCTCTGGATTCCCTTGCAATGGTTATGTTTCTTGTATCATGGAACTCTTTATTTTACCTTGTGATCTTTGATTCAGGAGCAGCCAAACTCATGCCATTCAAATGAGTCACTACGGCAACTTCAGAAATAGAAAAATGGTTTTTAGATACGTTGGCCTTGTTAACAGTAGGAAAAAGTCCCTTTGGAAACTGTAAGGGGGAACCTGGGGCTCAGCCAAACCATCTAACCTGTGCTAAGTACTGCTTGTTGTCTATGACAGATATGAAATCATGTCTCCATAGAAATTCATGGCAAACCTCTCATTAACTTCTATGGAGTCACAATTTCATTCTAAGTTTTTAAGGTATATTAATTATGTTATTTGTTGCATTTTAAATGCACCTTTTTTCTAGTAGAGACATACTGTTAGGCTGAGATCCCATATACTTAACCATGTCAAGGAGTACTGTCAATATATGCAAGGGTGGTCATAATCAACTCTTAGGCCATAATTGTGGGTGATAATAACTTAGTTTTTCGAGTAGTTTGCTCAAAAATGCCTCTCTTGCACTTCTTTTGCGGCTGTCTGCTGCTGCAAAATTGTTCACAAATTTGCTGCATGCAAAATGCAATGGGAGTTCAGGTTATTTATCACAAGCAAGCATTTTATGATTAAGTTTCAGAAAGGCTGATGGCATGTGACTTCCACTAAATATGCTGTAGTGACTTAATTTTCTTAGTACTATCACCATAATGTTAAGGTATTGACTTCCTATTGTTCTTCAGACAGTGGTGTTGTCATCACTATGAATCTTTTAGCCACATTTTTATGTAATTATTTTGAGCCAGAAAATTGTATTATAACTACTGAAAGCAGGAACTAGTAGTTGTTTTTTGAGGTGGCGTTTCCAAAGATTTCAGTCAGGGCTTTAATTCAGCACCCAACAAAATCAATAGGGTATTTACTATTGATTCCAGTCCAAGTAGAGGCAGGCCACCAATGTACTTACAGAGGTCCACCCTACGTATTTGTTTTGCTTAGAACAGTAGAGGCCAACTTTTTCAGCAGTCATGTCACAAATTAGCTTTGCCTCCTCTTTGAGTGCCACTCCAGTCCCCTTCCCCTACTTGACCTGCTGCTCTGCTTGGTGGTTTGCTTTCTGCTTCCTGCCCTATCTGCCACTATGCTGCCTATCTGCCCAGTGATTAGCTGTGCGCCCCACAGAAGTGGCCTGTGCTTCTTGCAGCACATGTGCCACAGCCCAGCTTAGAACATGAGATTTGTTTCTTTATCTAAGAAAGTGGTTCTTAAATACTGGCTTAGGGAGTCTTCCTTTCCTGATAGTCTGCAAAAGATTATATGCTTTGACAACCAGATATGGAGAAGTAAGAAAGAAATTAATCCAAGGAAGATTGTTATTTTTTCTATTACCTGATGGCGTTATGAGACAGAAAAAAATTAGAGTATCAAAAAACTCACATTTGCCAATAATGCCAGTCCAGAATCTTATGGTCATCCAGTGCACATATATACAATGACTTTGTAACTAGATTGGCAAGGAATGGGTTTAATGTCTAACCATGAATTATATCCATGAATAGTATCCTGCCAATGTAACTGAAACAAATGATAGCTGGGGAGTTTGGGGACTTTCTGACAGTAGCTCTCTTGCACTCACTATGTCTGATACAGTACTTAAAAACACGTACAGGTGAATGATTAATTGTTCTCTTTCAGTGCTTTGTCAGTAAGTGCTTTCTATTCCCACCTCGAAGTCAGTTTTAAGTAAAATGTGAATTGTCATTTTACAGTACGGGTGTGGTAGGATATTAGTTTGCTTCGCATTCTGAAGTAATGGCATTCTGAGCAAAAAGAGAAGTAGTACATGTGTGTATGCATTTGAGCATGTAATGAAAGGGAGTGTCACTGCCATTCTTGATAAATCTTAAATGTGTGGTTGGAGCATGTTAGTCAAGCAAGGTTAAGTTGTGCCTTTAAGACAGTGCAAACTAAGTGTTGGGTGACATAAAAGTGGTGCTGTCCCCAAGAGATCACCAGGAAGCATTCTGAAGGGTGCATGATGTACAGCATGCATTTAAGAAGAGCAAGATACTCCTCCCCATGGGACTAGCCCATCCAGTCCAGTTTGTAGTTAAGGGGTATAGCTGTGGTTCTGCCTCTTCCTCCCTTCTTTTGGGTGAGCTGCTCTTGAGTGCATGGGGTGCAGTTTTGACTGCTCCTTACTTCCTTCTCCAAGCCCTCCACAAAACCACTCAGGAGCAGTGCAGACTTGAATGGGTAACTTGCATTATAGGGTCTGTTGTCTTGCTTAGATCACTAGCTTTGGGGGGTTTGAAAAATAAAGTTTGTACATGTTCCTCATTTTAGCTGTCAAGTGGTCCTCAGAGTGCTAAACTGCAATAAAACTGTGGGACAGCAAGGGCAGAACATAAACTGTGCTGTGACTTGGGTGAGAAGGTGGGGGCAGAGGAGGCTGGGATGCTGGTTTTCAGGGCTGAGAGTCTGAAAAGCAGGGTGCCGTTTTTAGGAGGAATGTCAAAGGACCTACACCTAGATAGTGCACATGAATAACCCAGAACAGGGGCTGTGTTCAGCGAAAGTCCAGATCCACAGAACTTAGCAGCCTGTAGGAGATGAGTTTAATACTGCTGCCTGATGGCCCTCCTCAGAGGGGAGAGGAACTGAACCAGTGCTGTAACAAAGGAT